GGGTGGTGGCCGCCTGGTCCATCAGCATGTCCAGCTCGTCCACCAGGAAAGAGGATCGTCGGCGGGAGCGGCTGGAGCTCCGGGACCGCGCCTTGGCCAAGTGGAGGTGGTGACGGCGGCTCTGCCCCTCCCTGTCCTCGTCCTCATCATCCTCGCTCTGGTTACTGTAGGAGCACCAGCTCAGGTTGTCGTAGGTTTCCATTCTGGGAGGGGAGAAGAGCAAGGCCGTGGGTCAGACCTTCCCCTCTTGTTCTCACAATGGGGTCTAGAGGGAAGCCGGGAAGTCCTTGTTCTCAAGGGGGGGCAAGCACAGCCCTGCCTTGGCCGCAAACCCGTCTCTATATGAGCATTCCCCTCCTCCTGCTATTCACCCCCCCATACCTGCCTCAATCAATCTTCTTGGTGCCCAGATCACCCTTTCCCCCACTTTCTCGTCTCCATAACCATACCATGTTTCTCCTCTAATGCCTTCCACTGGTTTTCTCTCCTATTCCATCTTACTTTCAAGCGTCTAGTCCTCAGTTTTAAAGAGTCTAGGCTGCTCCGACCTTTGCCATCGTCTCTCCACGCCTCCACTTACCAAATGTCAATTCGTCCCACCGAGCGATAAGAGGCTCCAGAGTCTGGGAGCTGCCTGCAGTAGGATTCGCCTTTCTCAGGCGACTCCCCGAACCCCACAAGCATCGTCCCATCTTTCTACACTTGCCTCGGAGCCGAGGCCAGGGCTTGGACACATTTCCTAGAGGCAGAGAAGCTGTTTTGGCAACCTCACTGAAAGGCAACAGGGACAGAAATGGACAGATGCCAAGCTCGGTCGAAGGAGGACCTTCCTGGAGGAGGAGGAGGCCCACCTGGGGCCCACCTGGACCGGCAGCCTCAGGGACAGCAGGAGGGTGTGAGGTCAGTGGACTCAGAGGCCAGACGCTTGCCCTCATACTCCACCGTGGGCAACAGGAAGGGTCGAGGAAAATTTAAAATTTTTTAAAAAACATGATTTTAAACAGCACAAAAAGCACAGCCTGAATCCTATTATGAAATACCAGGCTGCCAGCTATCCGTCAAGTGCCCATCACACAAGGGAAGATGCCAGCCAGACAAGAGCTGGCAAGATCGCGCACTCTGCTTCCACAATTGCTGGTTTATGCTGCACAACCTCAATAGGATTCTGGTTGACAGATGCTGGAATTATTGCACTCTCACATGCTGCCTTATTTGGTTTGGCGGAGAGGGACCTTTCTGGGTCGGAGCGACTGTCAATCTATTTACCACTAACCAATCGTTTCTCCCCTGCCTCTGAGTTCAAAGGGAGCCCCACCTCTTTGCTCAGCCTCTTTCCCCCTCTTATGAGTCTCCTGAAAGCAAACAGAGGGGCTGTCGAGGTTGGTTATTCAAAGCAGCCGTGTTTGTTCTTAGTTTGCTGTTACCTGTTCAACTGTAAGTAAAAGGCAATGGTTTTTATACTTTCTCCTAATAATGCCTCAGAGGAAGTGGTTGAGACTGTAAGTGCCAGATAACGAGAAAAGGGGAAAGGGAACTTGAAGCTAATTCTGCTCGGTGAATCCCTGCACTTCCTCTTACACAGATAAAGGAATTCAACTAGAAATTCAAAACTCTGCAACAATATTTATGTCTCTCATCCCCCTGTTGTCTTTTCCTCTGTGTTTCACTGAACGCAATGCCTAGCAATTTAAAAATTCCTACCAAACCTTTCATTTTGTCAAAAGACCAACTAATGACGGGATACTTTTACCCCTTAAAAAGAGCCTTTGACAATGCCAACTGGAATTCCTCTCTCCATACACAAAACAAAATCAACAGAAAAAACGCAAATGAGAGCATTTTCTCCTAGAAATATAACATTGCGTGTCCATTTACCTGTCCATGCTTTATGGTTCGGCTTTAGACCTTTGTTGTCTTTTAACAGCCACATATATTTTGAATTGTGCAAGACATCTTGAGTCTTTCTGAGAAACCACCTCTAATAAATGTAAAATTATCCCCTTCACATTCCTTCCGTTTCCCCCCCCCCGTGTTGCAAGTCTGAATTTTAGCACTTGCCAGCTGCATTTTTGTGTAGTTCACGTTGGTGACTGCACCTCTTCCTGTACAGTGTTTTTTACTATACTACATAATCTGAAATGATTAAGCTTTGGGATATTCATCTGGTCACTAAATGGTTTAAGAAGACTGTTTCTTTCCCCCCACCCCCTTTATGCGAGAGCCTTTCGTAGAAGTGTAGAGGATGCATTTATCAAACCCACCTCCAACTCATCATTCACGAGGCTGTTGTTTTTCAAATAATCTTCTCAGCAACCCTGCGAGACAGATCGGCTCCTCTCGTTTTCATGACTGCTGCTGTTCTCACCAGGGGTAAGCCCTAATAAAAGGAGAAGGGTTTACTTCTGAGTTGTCTGTAAACAACCGGTAGCCCTCCTCAGCACTGGCGAGGCTGGCTGGACCTGAGCAGGATTCTCGTTCCATGTCATCTGATGAGCCATGCTCTGCCTGCTCCTGTTTTTAAGTGCTCCTATACGGAGTTAAGCGGTTAGATATTACGGTAATTCTTCTTTCTTAATGTGCTCAGATTCCAGTACCTGTAATTTGATGGTTTTCTTCAACACCCTTTCTGAATAAATATATTTAGCCATGTTTTCCCACCTTGTGTCCTATCCATACGTCTTGATTCATTCTAGCATTCAAAAGCAGCGACTATGCGCCGGGTGGGAGCACCCGATTTCGGGCACTGGTGTGAGCGTGCAAGTCCTCCAGAAGAGGAAGGAAACCACTACAGCAAGGAGCCTTCGAAACAAGCCTCGTGGTCAGGAAATCCGTTCCAGGCAATCTTCCCTCATGAACCTCCTTTGTTTTAAAAAGATCTTTGGGGAAGGCCTTTCTCTCGATCACCACCACCTTTGCAGAGGATGTAAGATGGGGCCTTTTCAGTGGCTGCTCCCAGCCTGCAAAACTCCTCCCCAAAGGAGACCAGCTCTCCTTTCACCAGCAAAGACCTTTTCCACAGGCAGGTGTTAGGCAAAGGGACTGCCAAGGACGGGGAGTTAATGGGGAAACTTTGTCCTTCTTTGCTAATATGCTTTTCCTTGTTGCAAACATTTTTATGGAGTGATTTTAGTATATAATGGCCCAAATTTGGTTGCACCAGTAGAGCACAAAAGGTGTAAACTTCCGAGGTGAACTGGACTAAGATCATGGCCACTGGTCCCGTCACCTCCTGGCAAATAGAAGGGGAAGATATGGAGGCAGTGACAGATTTCACTTTCTTGGGCTCCATGATCACTGCAGATGGTGACCAACTGGAAAAATCAGCAGTAGCTGAACATGCCCTGAAACAAGCTGGACATGAAATCCTATTTCAAAATGCAGAAGTACTGGACAACACCAGCAGTCATTATGTTAGACTACACAGGGAAGCCACTTAAATCCACAAACACCAGCAGAGCTTTAACAAAAAAGAAGAAAAGTTTGAAACTCAACAAAACCTGGCTCCCAGCACTGAAAAATACAGCCTGAAGAAAGGTTAACAAACTCTACCCAGCCACAAGGATCGGTGATCACTGCACACAAAAGACTAACTAACTACATGCACCCGTCAATCACAGTGACAGACCATCTCCCCCCTTATCATAACAATACACCCATAACAAAAAACACTCTGATCACCATCATCATCCCATTTCCCAAAAAAGGACAAAAAGCTGATCACATAGCTACAAATATTCAGCTATCCCACTCATTAGACCAGAACACAGAGTTCTAGCTCTTGTTCTCTGAAGATGCCAGCCACAAAAATTAGGAAGAAAAACCTCCAAAACACAGCCAAAAAAACCCCACAACCACCAAAGCATGTTGTAGCTCTGCTGCGATCCACTATTTTACTTGTGCAGAAAATGGGGCTCACCTGCACACTGCCTGTTCTCTATTTCCCGGAGGATTTCCCAGCCTGTTGTTGTCTGTTCCCAGAATTCTAGGGGAGCAAGCTGATGTCACTACAATTGTGGCATCACGCCTTGTGTGTAGCCAGCCAGTGTGTGTGTGTGGGGGGGGTGGGCTTTGGCAACCCTTCGTGGAAATGGAGACGTCCCTGCTGATGGGGTTGGGAGAGGCACACCTGGCCAAAATGCTGCATTCATGCTCTCTGTCCAAACAGGCCCTTCATGCTGCTTGACGAACAACAGTAAGAGGTGGTAGGAGGTCTCCTGCCTTGGCCAGGGGGTTAGACTAGAAGACCTCCCAGGTCCCTTCCAACCCGACGGCGATCTAATGATTCTGTGAACATTGTCCCATCTCACTTGCCAGCAGCTCACCATCCAGATGAAATGATGCCTCACCGGTTGCAAAACCTGAAAGGACGCCATCAAACGTGGGGGGGGGGAGCCACTCCCACATTCATATGATGCCTAAGAGAGCATGGATCCAAGCAACAGTTGCCCACTGCTTAGACAACAAGAAGCTCACCGAGGGCTCCTTGGGATCACCTTTCGGGCCCAGATGGATTGGTCCCCGGTGAAGAACGGTAGCTGAGGGCTAGCCGTTGTCATGGAGAAAACTCTGGAAAGGAGCTCTCTCCTGCCATGGGTCTTCCCACCCATGGAACATAACATCCATGCTCTGGCCTGGTGCCTCATCCGGCAAATCTCTGCACCAACGCTGGGAGTGGGAGATGGGGACGGTGGACCTCCCGACGTTCTTAGACCACATCTCATGCAGTGGCACCCCATCAGCTAGTTAGAGGCAAAGGGAGCTGGGCACAGGGGCTAAAAAAATGTCTGGAGGGCCCCAGCTGCCCACCCCGGCACAGAGGTTGAGATTTGAGGGCAAAGCAAAAAAGCGTGCTAGTTTTTTCGGATATCTCTTTTGGCCATCTGTGGATAATCTCTCTCTCTCTCCATGTGTCATGGAAGATGGAGATGGATCCCTGTCCGCTTCCCTTTCTTCTCCCCAATGAAAGCTCTGTAGGGCATCCTACACCAGGGACAGAAGCTGAGAAAGCAGGGGCTGTGACCCTTTCCCTTCCGCATGGCCCACTTCCTGAAGGGCAGCAGTCCTCAGGCCGGTTTGGATCATCGCGTTGAACGGCCCCACTGCAGGCTTTGAGCACACATACCTGACCCCAGGTTCTTCACCTGGGTCTAAAACGGGTTGAACAGGGGCTGGCCGGGATCCGCTGCTGCTTCGGATGAGGTTAAGTGGTTCAGCAACGTGAAGGAAGGTGGGCATACTTGTACGAAAGGGTCTCGGCCCCCCCACTCAGCCCAGCTAAGTCCTGTAGAAATACACAGGTTTAGAAAAGCATCTACCCAGCTGATGATTCAATGCGCCTACTCTTGTTGGGACTACGTAGCAATGGGATTTCGCCATCGTATTTCAACTCAGTTTGACAGGGTCGCCTAGATTTCTGATCATCATCTATCATCCTATTTAATAAAGCAGGATAAATGAGCTGAACTAAATTTCTTGCTGCTCATGGAGACTCTACGAATGATCTCTAAAAAGTCTGGTCATGAGCGGCTTTGCTCAGATCTTGAAAACCCAACACCACGACTGCCTTCAGGTAGACAACCCATCTCCTGTTTTGGCCTTTCTCTTTTCTTCTTGCCTTCCCAGCATGATCATCTTTTCCAGGTCAGTTTTGTGTTCTCATGATGTGCCCCCAATACAAGAGCCTCAGTTTAGCCAACTGCTTCTAGAGAGTCTTCAAGCTTGATTTGACCTATCACCCACTTATTGCACTGTCCAGCTTTCATGTCTAGACCTTTTAATTAGGAATATCACAATAGGGACAATCTTGGTCTCAGCCTCCAGCAACACATCTTTTACACATAAGGCTCCTTAATAATTGCCCTTAATAATTTTCTAACTCCTTAATAATTGCCCTTCCAGGTCTCTGTCTTCTTCTGGTTTCTGGCTTGCAGTCTCTATTACAATTCATGATTGAACCAAGGAATGTGAAATCCTAATTTTTTTTCCACTATCAAGGTTAAAGTCATGTAATTTGTCTGTAGTCAAGTCACTATTTTTCTCTTCATGATGTTCAAATGCTTTCTTGCTTCCGGACTTTCCTCTTTCATCAGTAGTTGCATCAAGTCCTTGCTACTTTCTGCTGATCATATGGTGTTATTTGCATCTTTAAAATTATTTATGTTTCCACCAGCAAATTTCAGTCCCCCTCCTCCTGGATCTCATTCTGCTTTCTGAATGGTATGTTCTGCATATAGATTGAACAGAGGAGGAGGCTGAATGGGCAAGGGCTGAAATGACCAGCACAGGGTAATTAATCATGTGAAGCCTTTACATCTGCAAGGTTCTTAATACTTGATTCATTGTTTGATCTGTATAGCTGGGCTCTTTTGGAAACCTGAGCCTCAGCTACACCTGTTTGTAGCTATTCACCCAGCACAGCTGTCTCCTGCAGTCTTGGGTGTTGTGTTGTGTTGTGGCGAGAAATCGTAGGATTCTCTGCCATCATTCAGGGAAGGCCACCTGGGTTCTCAAGCACAGAATTCTGAGCACACCACAAAACCACACAGGTAAGCATTCAATAGGGTGGAGCTAGGAAACAGCAACAGACTGCTGTGACCGGTGTGATCAACATAAAATGCCAGAACAAGCAGCAGACAGCAGAGTTCTCTAAAATGATCCACATAAATGGCTGTGAAGGCAGCCTTTTCTGGAGATCTAGAACTCTTAGCATCTGGGAAAGACAACATACTCTGGAAGAACTGGAATTGGCTTTTTGCCCTTTTTCTTTCCTGCCCTGCTTTTAGGAAAGAAACTTTTCTACTTAAGCCAGGAAAACACCATTTGGCTTGTGGAGATTCACTTTGGAAGACATCATAGGCATCCTTCAGTCTCGAGATACTATAGTAACGTGCTCTGTATGGAGGACTTAGAACAGCGTCTAGTGTTTTGACGCTGTACATGAAGCTGAAGTGTCCTCTCCAGGGCACGAAGCCTGGGTAAAATAATATGGTGGATAGGCTGTTACCCAACCAGCAAACAGGAAGACAAATTGGATGAGAAACGTGTAATTAACAGTGTTGTGAATGACCTTACCAGTGGCAGCACATTTTGATGATTAAAGATTCCCACACCCTTCCATGACCCCTCAAAGGCTTTCCAACAGTGATATTCCAAAGGAGCCTCCTTGGGGGTGAGGGGGGGAGAGGAACTCTAATCTCTGAGAAACTGCCAGGGCTAATGACATCATCGGCCTTCTGCAGCATAACATATGCAACAGGATTTCAGATTTATTTCTCTGCAGCATCTTTACATTATAGCACACAACAAAGAATTAAAACCACCCTTCTTCCCCCAGCTTACTCTGGATATCTCACTGGATGAAGAGAGTATGTCACATGCTTGCACATTTTTTGTGTGTGCTTTTGTACGCTCTTTGGTTGGTCCGAACAGACGTAACTTTTGCTGGGAGCTGAAACGACTGAACTGAGGCATCGTACAAGAGGCACTGCATGAGAAGCCTCCCTGGAAAACACAACGATGCTAGAAAAAGTGGCAGCACCAAGGAAAGAGGAAATCGAACACAAGACAGACGGGCAAATTAATCGGAGCCTTGAGTTGGTCAGAGCTCAGCAGAGCTGTTCATCACAGGCACTTTGGAGGTTGTTAATTCATGGGACTGCTGCAAGTCAGAAACCAGTGGGCAGCAGGTAGCATAATTCCCTTAGAAAATAAGTTAGAGCCTCAGCTTCAGTACGACTGTCAATGTTGAAAAGAAGGGAAAAGGACCTGTGGCAACAGGATGACTACAGAAGCACAGAGAGGGAGTCCAGCAAGACCACGGTCACATGTTCTGTCGGCTTAGACGTCGGGTCACGATTAATTTGGTTCCTCGTGGACTTTTGGGAAGAGACAATTCTCAGAATCCTCCAAAAGAAGACTTTGAACATAGTAGCCCCCAAATTGCTTTGGAAGGTATGGTCTATTGAAGTCTGGATAGGATGGAAAACAAGGCAGATGCCTTACCGGAATTACTGATTAAATTGATCATGACAAAGCAGGCAACACAGTGTCATACAGATTCCTCTTTTTAACGCACGCATGCGCGCGCACACACACACACACACATTATAGAATACCGCCATCTTCATAAGCAGACACCAGACACTCGCAGTGGAATCATCTTTTATTTCAAGTCCAGTTTGCCATTAAAAACTCCCCTCTCTCCTGCTCTTCCTAGGATCCAGTCACCCTTTGGATTCTGAGGCTACGCAGCCTATTCATCAGAGGGGCTACATACAATAGTTCTCGAAGCATCCAAGCAGCTTCCACCTCAGACAACTCACATCAATACATTAAAAGGACCAAAAAAAGATGATGCCAACATGATTAAATTCTAAATAAGATGTTATAAAATAGAAGTTTGTTTGTGGGGATTTAAAAAAAAAAAGCCAAACAAAAAACTGACCCCCAGGTATTGCTGCATGCACCAGAGAGGGCTTCCACCATTCAAAAACCAAGGAAAGAAAAAAAAAAGATTTTGGATCTGGCCTTCCGTGCTGGCACCAGTCTTCAACAGAGACGCAAATGCACGAGCTTCGCCTCTCATCCCTTGCTGCCTCTTCTCCCCTGGCCAGCCCTTTTTCCAAGGATGGGAAGGAATGCAGGCTGGCCCTGTACCCTTCGACCCCTTTAAGACTAAGGATTGTCAGCAACCAGGGATGACACTCAGCCAGGAGAAAGAGCAGAGAGAGGCTACTGAGGTTGCACCCTGTCTCTCTTCAGGTGTATTCATGCCAGAAGAGAGCGTATAGGCAGCCTCTCTCCTCACCGTCCCCACGAATATCCTAGCCACCCTTTCCGGCTGGAAAATGTGAGGGCAGAGGGGCCGGCAGCACTGTCCCGTTGCATATTCCAGGGAGAGGCGGAGAGTACTGGTGCAGTCAGGGGGCAAAAGAGGGGAAGGGGAGCATTTCAGATCTCTTGGCACTGGCACGACTATAAACTAAAATAGTCCAGGCTATTGTGGCGACAGAGGTTTGTGGTCCAGACGGCGTCAGCCCGGTTTGCGCTCAGCAGCATTTGCTGGAGTTCGTTGCTGACCCGGGAGAACTTCTCCTCGTCCACCGAGCCATTGAGGAGATTGGAGGAGGTGGGGGGCCAAGGCAGGTCGTCCGCATAGCAGTCCACCGGGTAGGGGTAGATGACCAGCTGCAAGTCCAAGAGGGCCAAGGTCCGGTGGAGCAAGTTCTTCAGCCCGGTGGTCGAAATGGGATTGCCAAACACGCCCAGGTAGCGGAGCCGGGAAAGGCGACCCAGGACAGGGAGGAGGGCGTTCAGTTGGGGGTCCAACAGGCGGCACTCCATAATGTCCAGGTGAAGCAGGGTCGAGGAGGCCTCCGTCAGCAGGTTCAGGAAAGGCTGGAGAAGGATGTCCGCCAGGTTGTTCCCGCTGAGATCAAGTTTCTTGAGGGCCGGCGTGTGGAGGCTTTGGGAAAGGTAGGCGAAGTCGTTGGGCAGGAGGTAGCAAAAGGCCAGCTCCAGGCTCTCCAAGGGGTTCTGCAACTCTCTGCAGCCACAGAGAAGAAAATGTTACACACCCACCACAGGCCCCTCTCAAACCCCCTCCACAGCTATGGCCCTCATCCTCTTGCGGTTCAAAAGGGCTCTGTCAACACTGAGAGGTGAGAGGCACGTGCTCAGCAGATCAAAACTAAAAATGTTCTGCGCCTCTGAGAAACGTCACAACATCTCATCCAGGAAAAGCAGTCCTGGTGGGAACACGGCTTGAGGCTGGCTGTGAGGGTTAAGAAAGCTTCCCCTTTCCCGGCTGCTTGGCCAGACTTTACCCCAGCGTTCTCCCACTTGCATAGGGCTACACAGTTTACCAAATCATGAGAGAGAGGCAGGGAGGGAGAAAGAGAGAGCTTGAATGCTGATCCTCTCTGGGCCATTTCCCAGAGTTTAGCAGAAACCTCCAACAGAAAGCACCTGCGCATTCTGCTCACAACTGTGTGCCTTAAAATGCCATTTTTCTCTGGCACGGCAGAGAGAACATGACAGTCAGGTGAGGAAAGTGGCTTTCACCCTCTCTCCAACACATCTTCTGCATACACAATAGGAAACCCATGCTCCTCCCACACACACCTGTGGCTTCTGAGGTCCACCCAGTAATGTAGTGGGGAGGAGCATCCAGAGGAAAAGACCCAACTGGAATGGGGGGCAGCCCCTAAGAAATTATCCAACTCCATGGAAACCCATGTCTCTTTTAACAGAAGTCCTATGGGAAGAATCTGGGGAAACATAGAAAGACTGAGAAACGGGGGTGATGCCACTGCAGCCAATATACTGCAGGCTGCCCCAGCCAGCTGTGGGAGATGGGATGCTGCTTCCCTGGAGAGATGAGGTGAGAAAACCTGGACAAACATGAGCCACACTGGCAGTGAAGAATTTCAACTACCCTGATGTACCCCCGAGAGAAGCCTTGAATGGCACGTCACCTCATCTCTTTGGGGAATCTAACATGAAACATTAAAACAGGTCTGAAACAACTTGCAGCTTTATAGGGAACAAGCAATATTTTAGCTCCAAACGGTTGATCTATTTAAACTAGGTTTCCCTCCCTTTCTTCTTAGAAAGGACACAAAGGCTGCTTGCACCACTGAAGAGATTTAAGACACCTTCAACTGGGTCTGGAATTTAAGTGGAAGCCAATATGGTTAAGGGTAGGAACTTATATTTAGTCAGCAAAATGTACACCAAGAAGTCGTTCAGCCATCCCCTTCTGCAGCAGCTAGTTACAACTCACTCTTCAAGGCATGCTACGCATGAAGCATGCCCAAGTAGCTCCAATGGGAGACGAATCATGTGTGAATCGCCGTGGCTAGATCTGCCTTCTTGGTGTACCAGCTAAAACTAGGCAAAAGCTGTGTCATTCCAATGTTAGGTACGATGGTCATTTTCGGGCAGGGGGCGGCGCCCCGTCCCATGTTTACTCTGGGCTGCACCTGACACTAGAAGCTCAAGCGACCTACGTGCACAATTGTTTCCTCTCCCTCCCGGCCCTGCTGTATCCACCCATTCCCAGGGGGTTTGACTTCTCTCCTGCAAAGATACAGTCATCTTGTTCCACTCACCCGAGCAGCTGCCTCAGCTTCCCAGAAAGCCTGGAGGAGCCCAGGTTCAGCTCCTTGAGGCACGGCAGGCGACTGAGCTGGGTGGCAAAGTACTGCAGGCTCCCTTCCATGCCCACGGTCAGGCGCCGGACGTCAATGTTGCTGTAGGGCAGCTTCAGGCTGGCCAGGTTGGTGAACTTGGCCAGGTGGGGCAGGACCACTCTCAAGCCTGAGAGCCCGAGGTTGTTGAAACGCAGGTCCACCTGACGGACGCCGACCGGGTCCAGGAACTCCAGCAGCCCCACGGTGCTGGCAATGGAGAGCTCCTCCGCTCGGAAGTCCCGGCACCTCAGCCGCAGGGCGTTGCCGCTGTTGACCTGCAAAGCATCCTTCAAGACACCATAGGAGGTGCTGTTGACAAAAAGGTCCACCCAGACGTCGACCGAGACAGGCTGAGGGGCGGGCAGGGCCACCGACTTGCTATAGGGGCCCTTTCGCCGCTTGGAGGCCCGCTTCATGCGCTTGTTCTGCTGCTTGGAGACGTCGAGGCAAGCCTTCGCCAGGGTGACCGTTCGTGACCAGAGGCTCATGCTTTCGGGGCCCTGCCCTTCATCCTGGAGACCAGTCATGTCTAGAACCTTCAGCCTCTGCTTCTTGCTGGGAGAGAAGCCAAAAAAGCAAAGCCATTAGAGGAAGAGGAGAAGCAGCAGCGGGGGCTTCCTCCTGCTTCACTAAAGAGCCACCTCTCTGCTTGGGGGGCTTCCTCCCGCTTCACTAAAGAGCCACCTCTCTGCTTGGCCAAGACCAGCCAGACACAACGAGGCGGGGCCCACTGCCCCACAGCAGACGGAAATCCTACTCCTCAGCGGCTCCACTGTTTCCACATCAAAACAGAACTTGGCCCATGAATGTGCCACGGACAGGTTGACTATCCTTCCTTCTCCTACTTTGTTTTAATCTGCAGCTCCCTCTGGTAGGTGAACTCTCCTGATATACTGAGCAACATACCACACCCCATGATAGCACTACAGGATCTCTGAATAAGGAGGTGCCCTTTGTATGGCCCAGCAGCACTCGGGATCTTTATAAAAGAGACAGCCACCTGCCTACTTACCTTTCTAGCTATAAATAAGACACGCAAATATGTTATCATCCCACAACAAAAGAAGCAGAACACCAAAGAGAAGGAGGAGGAGGCTGAGTTGGCAAAACAGACCGGTGAACATTAAGAAGATGTCTGTCCACAAGCATAGCATATTTAACTGTTAAGAATGCAGGGTGCCCCATGAGCTTCAATTCAGCACCTATCAAAAGAGCAACAGTAACCGTAATTTTTTTTTGGGGGGGAATGCTGTTCTTTATAAATTTAGATTTTTGCTGAATTTCAGTAATAGTCAAGGAGAGATAAGAGCATCTTTATTGATAAGAAGCTAATGAGGAACAAATAAAATGACTGAAATTATGCTAACAAGGGCACAGCAGCTCCGTAGCCCATGGAGAACAAACTGTGGGCCCTCATAAAGGGTACAGAAAATGTAAAGGTGTGAACACAGCTGATTCTAGAGGCTCACACTACAAGTCAGTTGTTTTTTTAGCTAAGGTGGAATGGTTCCCCTGCCCGTGTACGTCTAGCAAGTCTCCAGGGAAGATCAATGCAGCAATTCCCCTTGCCAATATAGCCTCCTTCTTCCCCTTTAAGGAAAAAAAAGGAGCAAGGGAAGCCTCAGATACCTCTTTGTGCCATGGCGATCTTCTAGCATCTTAATCAGATAGGTCACGACTCCCAGAATAACCGCTTGGATGCACAACTTATTTGGCTTCTCTCGGATCAGGGGATATTCGCAGTGCTGACACTTCCTCAAGAGCTTCTGGAAACTGAGTAGCGGGAATGGCCACGTCTGCACCAGCTGCTGCAGGGACGGCGTTCTCTTGTCAAGGAAAGCCGCCTTGAATAAGACGGGATACAGCTCCTTCGGAATAAAACCCAAGGCATCTTGCAGGGTTGCGTAGTGGGAGACCACCTTCTGCGCACACAGAAACACTAAGGAGCGCATGGCTGCAACTGGACAGGCCGCAAGTTGGGATCACAGCTCGGCATTAACTGCGGGAAAAGACAGAGAATTTTACTTACATTACTCTGCCACCGGAAGAAAAACCATCAATGCCATTTTCAGTCTCTCCTTATCCGCCTTTTCTCCACAAGAGTATCAGGTGAGAAACTAGTTTCAAGGGTACGAAAGGGTCTGAACCTGGCGTCATGCGCTATGTTAAAAGCCACTCAATGCACCTGCTCATCGTGCTTGGTTCAAGAAGATGTTGACTTAAGGGACTTCCACAATGAACAATTTTTGTCCAATGAATGACTTTCATCCTGTTTTATTCTAAAGCCTTGGCCATATTATTTTGTGGTTTTGAGTACTATTGAAGAGACGCAGACAGAACACTCCAAAACAAGAGTCTAAATTTCGAGGAGGAGAAAACATTGGAAGGTCTCCCCTTTGATAAGAAGCAGCCTTTAAGAACTTAGGAGAGGCAGCTTTACCTGTTCGCTTTTTGTTGCCAGCCTTTGAGCAGGACGTGATAGAAATAAATGTCCCAAGGGTTAACCATGTTACTTTGCTGCAGCAAGCCCAATGGAAAGTTTTATGGTACCTTAACAGCTAAATTGTTTTATTTGACAGACACTTTCATAATCCATTCCTTCAGATGCAGAAAGGAGGTGGTGACCACCCAGGGAAGTTCCTCCCGAATAAAATGTGCTTGTCTTTGTAAGATACCGTAGAGGGTGAAGGATGTTTCAGTTTTTACTTACTGAATACCGGACCCGAGTGCCTGTTACATTTTGCACTGTGGCTCTACACTGTGAATTTTGTTGTATGTGTATATACTTACAATGACAATAAATTATTATTATTATTACATACTGTATATTCATTGTCATTTTATGACACTGTTCATTCTGTTTTCGTAATTAAAAAGAGCAGACACCCGAGAACGGGGTCCAAAACCAGAAATGTCAAACTCATCTCAGTTAAAATGTGGCACATACTGAAAGAGAATCAAAACAATTTCACCCCTTTCTACCTTTTGTCTATAAATATCTACTTAGTACTGATTGGATTAGCAATGCTAGGCCTTCAAAAATGGCAAGACATTGATTGTTGGCACCATGAAGAACACATTTCTGACTCCAGTGTGCCATTCTAGAGCTACCTGGATGATGTGCTGCCTCAGAGGTTCACAGGTGCAAAGCACCAAGCTAGATCACACGCCTTCTGATGTTTTCCTAACAGTCCCAGGGCCAGTAGCCTTGTTGCGGCTCTGGTCTCTTGGGAACAGGATGACTCTGACCCAGGGCCATTTATATGAATTCAGTTACTCCCAAATACCTCCAACCCAATGACAACAGGAACCCGAGTATTATAGACCTATTGTGCGGTTGCGGCAAAGGAAGCTCATCTCTCTAGCATCTCTGGACCTGCCTAGCATCAGCCACCAGAGTATTCTCCAGTGATCTTTATTATGCCTGCTGGGATCCACTTCCTTTGATTCTGCAAACACAGCCCCTTGTACCTGCCCCAACTCGCATGTCGTAATACTAATAGGGTAGAAGATGAATGAAATCAGGACATACTATGTAATCAGGGTTACACCTTTCTGTTTGTGCAACTTGAGGGTCGGTGATATCGGCCAGGAAACACTACAGAAAATTTCTCCCCCAAATTTTCATGGCTGAGTTTTTCCACACAGAAAAATATCCTTATCTAAAAGAGACATTTATCATTTAAAAAAAAAATTCATTGGCAAGAACGTGACCCAACATTTGCCTCTCTTTGAAACCAAACTATGCGGTGCAAGGGATTCTATGCAGTGCTACCAAAACTGGAGGGGCCGCAACAACCCTCATAGAAGAGAAATAATCTCTGCTGGCAGTAAAGGAGCAGATACATAGCCAAAATTAGCATGTCCATTTTTAGCGTCTTTTCCCTCTTCAATGTAAACAAATGATGTAAGAGAAACACATGTTGCTGTAAAGAAATAAAAACAAGTCTTCTAATAAAAATCCAGATTGCTGCTGAGGATACGGATGTCCACCTCGCCCGTTCTGAATCTGCCTCACCCACCCTGGCTTCTGAGAAGAGTCAGAGTTTGGCTCTCCCTTGGAGAGCAGAAGCTGTCAAAAAAAAAATGTGCGACAATTAAGTTGTATATTTTTACTACTCAGCTGTGAAATCACCATAGCAGTGCCACAATTTTGTATATATTCATACTACCCTGTTTCCCCGATAAGACCTAACCTGAAAATAAGCCCTAGTTTTTTCAGGATGCTCGTAATATAAGTCCTACCCCAAAAATAAGCCCCAGTTAAGCAAAGCCCTGTCCTCCACCCTCGTGAAGCAACCAGAAGATGACATGACTGTAAAATAAAACAACCCCTAATGTGTTTTTTTGGAGCAAAAATTAATACAAGACCCTGTCTTATTTTCGAGGAAACACAGTAGCACAAATACTGCCCCTGAAAAGTAGCTAACCCAAGATTCATGTAAGGCAGGGATCTCCAAACTACAGCTTGTGGGCCACATCTAGCCCACCTTGCTGTTTTATCCTGGTCATTCCCTTCAGCCCATGCACATGTGTGCAAGGGGGGTGCGAGCAGGGGTGTGTGCATGCGTGGGTGCATGCATGTGTGCAGGGTGTGTGTGGGTGCACGTTCCTGGTCCTTCGGCCCTCAAAAGTGTTGAAAATATCCAGTGTGGCCTTCACAGTCAAAAGTCTGGAGACCCCTGATCTAAGGCAATGAACACATGACGTTCTCCTTTTAATCTGCAACTAACTCTATAACTTCTCCGAGTTCCTCTGAGAACCCTCCTTCAGATTTTCAAGACTATTCATTTGTCACTTACACACTATGTTTCCAGCGTTAAGGTTCTATAAGCAAATAATTTGAACTGCTGTTCTCTGGGACAATTTTTTAAATATGCAGAAATGTGGTTTTTGGTAGTCAAACTCTCATTTAATTTTCTGTCTAAGAAACATCAACAGCATGCAGAATCCTTTGATGATATAAAGGTCTCCTTGTTGGTTGGAGGCACACTCCAAATAAGACAAAGACTTAATCCTTCGAGTCTGATCAGCTTTGACAAACTCCTTGAAGACTATTTTTGTGGGATGTGATTGCAATACTACACATATTTACCTAGGAGTAAAATCTACTGAACTCAGAAATGCTTAAGATTTGAACTCACAGGCCCGGTGCTTCAAAGATGCCTTGTGAAAAGCAATCGGACAGGCTCTGTGTGCAGAAGGTTCCTGGCTTGGTTTCTGGCATCTCCAAACAGGGCTAGAAAAGATTCTGGTCCAAAACCCAGAGTTGCTTGCAAGTTAAGTGGTGGCGGGGTCGCTGACTGCACATAAGGCACCTGCCTATATCGCTGTTTTAAGAGCTCTTCTTCAGCTGAAATGTACCTTAACCTTTAATTACAAATGTAAACCACCTTACAAAATAGCGCTACCCTGAAGCAAGTCTTGCTAAGAGAATTAAGAGTATTTGATTCCTCACTCCCATCTTCTGAGTAAAATCTACTGAACTCAGAAATGCTTAAGATTTGAACGCACAGGCCCGGTGCTTCAAAGATGCCTTGTGAAAAGCAATCGGACAGGCTCTCTGTGTGCAGAAGGTTCCTGGCTTGGTTTCTGGCATCTCCAAACAGGGCTAGAAAAGATTCTGCTCCAAAACCCAAAGTTGCTTGCAAGTTAAGTGGTGGTGGGGTCGCTGACTGCACATAAGGCACCTGGCTATATCGCTGTTTTAAGAGCTCTTCTTCAGCTGAAATGTACCTTAACCTTTAATTACAAATGTAAACCACCTTACAAAATAGCGCTACCCTGAAGCAAGTCTTGCTAAGAGAATTAAGAGTATTTGATTCCTCACTACCATCTTCTATTCCTTTTTTTTTTCTCCTGCCAGTGTCAGAGGGGGGGAAAAAGCCTTCTGGACTGCAAAGGCTTGCTTGCCGGCTGAATGAAAGAAAAAGTCAAGCTTCACCCTCTGTTCTTCCAAGCCTTGCCCTGAAACTGGGGACTCTTGTCTGCTCGCATGGATGAGCTGCCACACAAACATCTCAAATGTCTCCCACAGGATGCCTCTCCTGACTTCCTCCAGTGGGTATTAAATCAGAAGCAACCTGATGCCATATACCAGCAATGGGGGATGAGACTCGTGGAGCCCTCAGCTATAACCACTAGTCTGTCTTCTTCATCTATCCCATTCCACAATTGTCCTTTTAAATAAAATCTGCAGTTGGAGTGTGCCACAAAGACAAAAGGGATGGGGTTGTGAATCAGGGCCTAAGCCTGATCTACAAGCTCAGCAGGATGAAGTAACAGAATAGATACCGTAAGACAGGGGTTGTCAACCCTCAGTCCGTGGCCTGGTGCTGGTCTGTGGGCTTGCTGGAACTGGGCCGTGGATCTCCATGCCCCCTGCACGCATGACACACCCATCACGCAAACGTGACATGCCCCCACACATGGGTCTCGCTCCCCCTATCCATCCCCGGCCCCAAAAAGTTTGGGGACCACTGCCGTAAGATACCATCCTGCAAGCAAGGGATTCTGTTTTCATGTGGTGCTCATGTGTTTCATATTATGGTCAAATAGATGGTTGTTCTAGGTTTTTTGGGCCGTTTAGTCATGTTCTGGAGGTTTTTCTTCCTAACGTTTCTCCAGTCTCTGTGGACGGCATCTTCAGAGGACAGGAGTTAGAACTCTGTGCTCTGGAACAGTTTGTTTGGGAGTTGAGTATTTATAGCTGTGGGATCAGCTTTTTGTTGGTTTCAGGAGACTGGGTGATTATGGTGATCAGGGTGTTTTTTGTTATGGGTTTATTGCTGTGACAAGGAGGAGAGATTATCTGTCACTGTGATTGATGGGTGTTGTTAGTTAGTCTTTTGTGTGCAGTGATCACCTGTCCTTGTGGCTGGGAAGAGTTCATTGACCTTTTTGCAAGCTGTATTTTTATGCTCAACTACTCTGCAAGAAAAAGGACCAGAACAGAAAGAAGTATCAGCACTGCCCACTCACAAGTATGCCAGCAGTTTT